ATTTTATGGAAACCGCTGATAAATTTAGTGAGACCCTGGAGGATATGAAAAAAGACCAACTAGAAATTAAGCATACACTGACTGAAATAAAGAATAATATACAGAGATCCAACAGCAGACAAGAGGATCCCAAGAATCAAGTCAAAGATTTGAAATATGAAGAAACAAAAAATACCCAACCGAAGAAGCAAAAAGAAAAAAGAATCCAAAAATATGAAGATAGTGTAAGGAGCCTCTGGGACAACTTCAAGCATACCAACATCAGAATTATAGGGGTGCCAGAAGAAGAGAGAGGGCAAGATATTGAAAACCTATTTGAAGAAATAATGACAGAAAACTTCCCCTACCTGGTCCAAGAAATAGACTTACAAGTCCAGGAAGCACAGAGAACCCCAAACAAAAGGAATCCAAAGAGGACCACACCAAGACACATCATAATTAAAATGCCAAGAGCAAAAGACAAAGAGAGAATCTTAAAAGCAGCAAGAGAAAAAAAGTCAGTTACCTACAAGGGAGTACTCATACGACTGTCAGCTGATTTCTCAACAGAAACCATGCAGGCCAGAAGAGAGTGGCAAGAAATATTCAAAGTGATGAATAGCAAGAACCTACAACCAATATTACTTTATCCAGCAAAGCTATCATTCAGAATTGAAGGTCAGATAAAGAGCTTCACAGATAAGAAAAAGCTAAAGGAGTTCATCACCACCAAACCAGCATTATATGAAATGCTGAAAGGTATTCTTTAAGAAGAGGAAGAAGAAAAAGGAACTCTTACCATTTGCCACAGCATGGATGGAACTGGAGAGCATTATGCTAAATGAAATAAGCCAGTCAGAGAAGGATATAATACCACATGATCTCACTCATTTGTGGAATATAATGAACAACATAAACTGATGAACAATGACTGATCCAGAGACGGAGAGGCATTGATTGGACTGTCGGGCCTTGGAGGGAAGGTAGGGGAGGGTGGGGGTAAGGGGGAAAGATCAACCAAAGGACTTATATGCAAGCATATAGGCCTAACCAATGGACATGGACAACGGGGGGGTGAGGGCATGAGCGGGGGGTGGGAGGGGGGTAGGGGGTAACGTGGGGATAAGGACACATATGTAATATCTTAATCAATAAAAAAATATATTTAAAAAAAATTTAAGAAGCCTAAAAAAAAGGAAATTACTGTTAAATAGTACAGAGGTTATATAGGAAAATGTTCTTACCATTTAGAGATACATATTAGACTGCCTGGAATTGCTTCAAAATCATAAAGGAAGAGGTCTAGCTGAAACAAGATTGGCCATGAGTTGAGCCAGTTGGTGTATACATAGGGATTCCTTACCCTATTCTATATACTAGTGTTTGTTTGAAATTGTCTTTAACAAATTCTTTAATATGCCTGACTATAGGTTCTTTGTTTTACATAAAGATAAATGAAGTATATTTTTCATGCCCACAAATAAAGAGATGTGTTATTTATACATATCTTCAATTAAACTTTTTAATACCTAAATAAAAACTTGCTTAAAGGGAAAAGCCCTAGAAATTAAAGTTATTCATTCACAAATGATGTCTAACATTAGATATTATATGCTTGAGACACTATTCTCAGAGCTTTAATTTATTTACCTCACCACAGCACCACATGTCCCCAATTTTTAGCTAATAAGTTGGCAGAGCCAGGATTTGGACCCATGCAGTTCTACTCTATGGCTCAGGCTCTTAAACTTTAGTCTACATTTAAATTATGTACCTAATTATTGGTCAAGTTCCCATGTTTTAGGCAGGATCTAGGTCAAAAGGAATGAGGGAAGGCTGTTCCAGAACAAGGGAAAAGTAAAGTAAAGGCACAAACATAAGGGCCAGCAAGTTACTTGGTTTGAGTCAAGCACAGGATTCTAAACAAGAGAAATGCTGTGAAATGAAGTTGGAAAGTCAGACAAGACTGGATTGTGACCTACCATGGAGGACAAGTTAGCGGTGTCAGGACAGCCTTCTCTAACCGTTTGGGAGGCACTGACTCTTGGAGTGGAAGATTGACACTATACTTTTTGGAGGTTAATGGAGCTTAATCTGTAGGAGGAATTATTGGGAGGGTTGAGATTAGAAGTAGGAATTCAGTTAGGTTAGTCACAAGCAAGGAAGGCTGGAATTAGGGTCATTGTGTGTGGGAATGAGAAAGGGCAACTATAAGAAATGAGATGCTACAGAAGCAAGAGACAGAGAGAAAGAAGAGTTAACAGAAATGACAAGTTTGGGGCCTGGGCAAAACTTGGGAGGATGGTGATGTCATCACCACTAATAGAAAAGAGCAAAATGCAGAAAGAGGAGCAGATGTGAGAGAAAAGAGGAATGATTTTGTTTTGAATACACTGAACTAAATGAAATAAGCCATCCAAGAAGACAGGTCTAGTAGATAAAAGGGTAAAGTGGACCGAAACCTGGAGAGAACTCAGGTGTAGGGTGTAGATTTGGGACTGAGAGGTGATGGTTGTTGAACTGATAAGACTAGTTGAGACTGCTGAAGGAAAAAGGGAAGGTAGTTTGGCTGGAGTCTCTAACAGTGTTTTGAGTCTTTTTAAGATACATGAATGTTGTCTTCTATTATTTTCCATTCCTTTAGCACAGAATTCAATAAACTCTCTTGTCTGATTCATGAAGAAATATGAGGTGCTAACAATCTTTTCATAACAGTGTTTTGATCTCCCAAATGATCCCAGTACGGCATTTATTTTTTAGTAGTGAGAATGGTTTGATTTCTTACTGTCCCATCTGGGAACCAACTAATAGGGAAAGGACAAATCTCAAAAGCAAGCTTGTAGTGGAGGACTAAAGACCCTTTTCAGATAATTCAGAAATGTAATTCTATTTTAGATGGAGGCATCTTTATTTTCTGGCCTATATCTCTCAATAGTGATAGTGTCACAATTCACTATTGAATTGTTAGTCAAGTCTAACTAATAAGAGGAGTAGAGAAAATGACACATAAGTTTTTATTTGCCTCTAACATAATAAACCACTGATATAAATAAGGCTGTAGTTAATTGAGAATGAAACCATAGAATAGGGAAAGAAAACTGTAACAGTGCTGCACTTTTAAACAATTTCTAATTTAAGTTTAAATTTTTCTTAAAAACGAAAATAAAGATCTGTTTCTTACAGCAAGGCCAATAGCAAAGCATCGCTGTCTTTTGCAGAACCCATATGAGTCAGAATATTTAGTCTAAAAGCTTTAAGGATCCAAATAATTATCTTTTTTTTCTTGGTTTATTCCTCCCATGTCAAAACTTGAAGTTCATACTTCATTTCAAACTTTTCACATTTTCCATTTACTGCAACCTTGGGCTGAGAAAGCCCACTATTTGCCTGGATTTTGTAGGGTATTAACAACTCTATTCAGTAGGGGTTCTCTACAGCAGGAGGAAGAATATTAATCAGAGAGCTGCTAAGTATGCACAGCTGGGAACCCTTATCAACAATCAAGAACCAACCCCACAGGGCTGTTAAACACAGCTGGGAGGCCCTCTGTCAGGTCCAAGTCTTAGCAGCCAGTAAGTGGAAGACATGACACAAATGGCCGTGCTTATGGCTTTAACTTTTGGAAAACCTCACAAGAACATGGATGATTTGCTCATTGTGAAGCAAGTAACCAGGCAATTCTTTTAAGGACTTTAAGCCAGCAGTGTGAGATTTGTTTTACTTTTTTTTCAACCATCGTAGTTGATGCTTCTCAGTAGCAAATGAATTTTCCTTCAATGTAGCCTTGTATCTGTGCCACAGACACACAAAAGGTGCAAACTGTTTGTACCACTACAATGAAAGAAAACAGGGAGAGAAATGTAGAGATAGGGTTATTAGTTAATAATAGAATTCCACATTTTCATAATTCCATTTTTGAGGAAGACTATAGAACAGTGGTTCTCAACCTTCTGGCCCTTTAAATACAGTTCCTCATGTTGTGACCCAACCATAAAATTATTTTCGTTGCTACTTCATAACTATAATGTCGCTACTGTTATGAATCGTAATGTAAATATCTGATATGCAGAATGGTCTTAGGCAACCCCTGTGAAAGGGTCTTTCGACCGCCAAAGGGGTCGCGACCCACAGGTTGAGAACCGTTGCTATAGAATGAGCATTAACATGACAAAGCGTTTTGGTTTTGCTGTCTTTTGTGTTGGTATAGCTAGTGTGCAGTTAGATTAGAGTTCATTATAATCACGGAGTTCATCCATAGGCCATAAGTAGTCACATCTGGGGTGATGCCTTTTGATTTTGAACCACCAAAATGATTTTTTTAAAACAGCCAAAGTCCTAGCAAGAGGAGAGGATTTCCAATAAACAACTTGTGCTCAAATCTCTACTCTACACATTTTAAAACTGCTACTACAAAGTTAGAATTGGGAGACTTGGCATTAGACCCACAAAGCTCAGTGGCTTCTCATGTAAATCCAACGTGGGTAGTACAGATCAGGACTGGTTTCAAAGTAAGTGTTCCTGGAAGAATGTTTAAGGAGTTACAGCCACACTCTGCAGTCAGACTACACACCCAGCTAGCAGATTTCAGTCTAGATAAGACTCTGGGTGTGGACTACATTAAGTGGTTGGGTTTGTAGATTAAGATAAACACTTCTTTCAAATCTCAGTTGTTGTGCAAGAATCTCTATGGGAGTTCATTAAAATACAAATTTCACTGCACATGCCTAGACTTCTTCTCAAGTAGATCTAGGGACTTAGGAGAAACAGGCATTGCTAAACACCCAGGAGATTCTGATGTAGTTGGTCTGTAGACCACATTATGGAAAACACTGGATATAATTAATCTATGCTCAATGCCTTTCATGAAAGTATATCCATTAATAAGTAATAATGAATAACCTCAGCTTAAATTGAAACACACCTACCCTCACTCTTCTGAAACATGAAAGGAGGATTTTTTTATACACAGTAATCTGTGTCACTAAACACTTTTACAGATGGATTATTATTATTTTTTTTTCCCCTGTGTTCCTAGGCAGCTGCATCACCCTTGACAGGTCACAGTACCCTGGGCTGTTTCTGTGGCAGACGGAAAAAGCATCTGCCTGGGACTGCATCCAGGTGCAGAGTGAGTCTGCATGACAGATAGTACTTTTAAATGACACTTTCTATATATATTCTTTGAAACAAAAAACAATGTAATTAAATTTAAAAGTTTCTTTCTTCCTGCCTTCGTAGACTGTCTTACTGAAAAAAAAAAAAATACTTTCCCATTTTTATTTTTCTTAACTAAGTAAAACAAACATACCCAAGCCCTAGGTTACCAGAGCAAACTCTCTAAGTGGAATACAACATGAAGAAAATGTATGTTTTAACAAGGCCCTAAACTGTGTTTTCCAAAGATCCTAATGGGCCCATTGTAGTTGCTATAATCTATTAAATTCAATTTATGTAGGTGGAAAGCCCTTTAATATGCATTTTATGATAATATGCTTTTTAAGATGTCTCCTGATATATATTATACACACTACTGAACCATAATGACTATTAACACAGTAAAATTAATACTACGCATTTTTAAATGGCCTAAACTTTCAAAGACACTCAGGAGAGAGACACTTTTCTGAGTAAAGTTTTTGAAGTAAGAGACATTTTTACAGTTTTGTGTACAAAGAAACAGATAATGAAGGAACTTTTGAGGATGTTCAGTAATGGTGAAGGGTTCCAGGACCCACGTCTCTGCTTTCCCCCCTCTATGATAAGGTTCAAGAGGTTAAGCTCTGTCTCCAACAGATCTACGTGAAAAGCCTCTAATCCTCATCTCATCCTTTGTCGCCTCTTCTAATGGTGCTGAATGCCCCACTGGACCAGGGACCTCTGGATGGCAGAAAGGGTGTTTCTATTGAGAGGAAAAAGTAGAAAATGATTCTAATGCAGCCGTGGGCAAACTACGGCCCGCGGGCCGGATCCTGCCCGTTTGAAATGAATAAAACTATTGAAAAAAAAGACCGTACCCTCTTATGTAATGATGTTTACTTTGAATTTATATTAGTTCACACAAACACTCCATCCATGCTTTTGTTCCGGCCCTCCGGTCCAGTTTAAGAACCCATTGTGGCCCTCGAGTCAAAAAGTTTGCCCACCCCTGTAATCTAATGCCTCTCTGTTTGGCATTAGTCACTCTCCATTAACTCATTTAGAGTCTCTTCCAATATAAAGTCAAAACCTAGCTAACTTAAACAAGTGGAATCATTAAGCTCAAGATTACAAAACCAACCCACACAACAAAACTCAGGTTAAATACTTCTAACTTTGTACTATCAAAATTTCAATAGCGAGCAGTTCATTTTCAAGTCTTCTAATGCCCAAGGAACTATGTCTCATCTCAAAGACATAGTTTCAGGTATACTTTATGTGTGGACCCCAACTACAAGTACAGAGACCTGTACCCACCCAAATTAAATCTAAAAAGAAAATTTCCCTTAAATACAACCAGCTTTTAAATGAAGCCCTTAAATTAACTCAGTAAAATTAATAACATGCACAAAACATCTGCTTCCTTCATTTGCTTTAATTCTATCTTTAAAGTGAAGAAAATTATTAGTCTCATATGAAAAAAAGGTAATGTTTGTTATAGTCCCTTACCATTGAAATGTTTAATTTTTATATATCTAATACAACTGTTTTATTTAGGTATACCGTTCCCCCTAGTTTGTGCATATGCAAAATATATACTTTGTTTTGAGTTTTACATAATTCCTTCATCCATCTTGAATTCATTGAAAAATGAATACATTTTTCATATAGATACAGTCAGTAGAGCCAGCACACTTATAATAATAAAATGGTAATATGCAAATTGACCAAACGACTGAACAGCAGAATGACTGTCTGGATGACCTTCTGGATGACCATGCTATAACACCCACTGGCGCAAGGCCAGCCAAGGCGGGTGAGATGCGATTGGTTGGGGGCCCGGCCATCGCCCCATGATTGCCCTGTAGAGGGAGGCCCAGGCCATCAGCCAGTGGGGTGACTGATCAATTGGGGAGCTCCATGATTGCCCCAAAAGGAAGGCCCAGGCCACTGACCAGCAGGCCGTGGTGGGTGGGCAGGGCCTCCCTCTATAGGGGCGATCCATAGAGGAGCCCTGGCCAAGTGGGTGGGGCCTACCTCTTTTGGGGGATTGATTGTGGGGCTCCCAGACTGTGAAAAGGCACAGGACAGGCTGAAGGACCCTCCCCGCCCCTGCCACTGAGTGCACAAATTTCATGCACCGAGCCTCTAGTCTATGGAATAATCCATCCTTGCCACTGAATTGAAATACAAAATTTTATTAAATTAAATTCTCAAATTCTGTGATCAATTTCTAGATTCTCATTTTTGTTCTACCTATATTTGTACTAAATGGTATAATATCTGTGTTATTGCCATGAGTTTATAGACTATTATGGTGTCTGGTAAAGCAAGTCCAACCTTACTATTGTTCTTTCTTAAAATTTTGACTATTTTCAGGTATTTATTTGTCCACATAAACTTTAAGTAATTTTATCCAACATCAAAATAAATTTTAAAACATGTCAGAATACCTATTTGTATTGCTTTAAATTTACATGTTAATTTTGAATTAATGAACTTTTATATTGTAATTTTTAAGGAAATAATATTTATGTTCATTTAATCTTATTTCAAATCCTTTGATTTTCTTTGTAGATATCATGTTTCTTATTAAAATTTTCACAAACTTATTACTTGTACTACTTTTAATAGGAAATTTCCCATTTATACCTATAGGTATAAATCTTCTGTTTTTTTCAATATATCTCTGGTGTCTAACCAATTACCCAAATTATCAATTAAAAAAAGTTTTATCAATTAAAAAAAGTTTTCTACCAAAGTCTCTTAGGTTTTCTATCTATACAATCAGACTTATGTAAAAAGGGATAGGTTTACTCTTTTTTTCAATGCATATAAGTTATTTAATTTTCTTGTGAAGCACTGGTGATATCAATTTTACCTCCTTGGGTCTTAATTTGGTTGTTTAATTTTTAAACTAGTTCCCCTCTCCCCTTTATTTAGAATATTTGCTCTTGGACTTCAGTAAAATATTTCACTAATTCCTACTTTACTTGGAAATTTGATTATTGCATATTAACAAACTCTTTGGTATCTATCTATATAGTCATGTAAGTTTTATACTTCGATTGGTTGATATAATGTATTATGTTGATATAACTTCTTAACTTAAATCACCCTTGACTTCCTAGTAAAATCCTGTTTGATCTTTCTTTTGCTGAGTTGTTAATTCCTATTTGATAATATTTTATATGTAAAAATATCCCATATTATAAAAGGCTAATATGCAAATTGTCCCTGCGGGAGTTCGACCACTGGCTATGAAATGCACTGACCACCCAGGGGGTGGCGTGGAATGAAGAAAGGCCCCAGCTGGCAGCCAGCAGCTGGGGAGGAAGGCCCCAGCCAGCAGCTGGCAGCTGGGGGAAGCAAGGCCCTGAATGGCCCTGATCACTGGTCAGGCCTCGGGACCTTACCCGTGCACAAATTTCCTCTACTGGGCCTCTAGTATATTTATATTCATAAGTAAATTTAGTTATAGCTTTCACTTTATTTCTTATTAGATTTGATATTAAAACTTTGCTGACTTCTTTGAAGCTGTCCATATATATATATATATATAGAGAGAGAGAGAGAGAGAGAGAGAGAGAGAGAGAAAGAGAGAGAGAGATACAGATATGAGAAGCCATCAACCTAAAGGAATGAAGATATAGCAAAGCTATAGATGCCAACTCAAAATTATACATGAAATTTCTATTCCTCTTCTCAAGAACCAAAAAAGGAAATGACAGCGGCAAGACTTTATGTTAACTCACACACTGATCAGAGGTAATACATATAGAATCCCGGAGAATTCTTGTGACAATTTGAAGAGGGGGGGATCATAAGAAATTCCAATAATTGACACCTGGCTAGTCAATTATTGGAATTTAACATCAGTAAAATGTGGGGTTCTTTGGTAAATATGACTATTTATTAGAAGGTAAAGCCAGGAATTCACAACTTATACTTTATAATCAAATGCTAAGACTTTGGCTATATTTCATGCTTTTTCTTTTCTTTCTTCAATCAAACAAGGGATAAAATACTTTAGATTAAGTTGCCTTAGGATCTTAACTAGAATAGAAGTCAAATCCATTTACCCTCTTACACTAAAACTTTCAGTTTTATAAATGGCAAGAATAAAGAAAATAGAGAGCTTCAGAAATTCCTGGGAAATGCCAAGCAAAAACCTTACCTAAAGTCTCTTTAAGCCAGCATGAGTCCTTTAAAGGGACATCAGTCTCTCTAATCTTTTGTCTGGAGACTTCACATGGATCTTCTAGCAGGAATATTCTTCCAGAAATATAAAAGTTCCCTACCATAATGATTGCTTGCTTGGAGGGCAGGCGGTGCCCCTTCGGGGTGAGTGAGCTAAACATGCCATCAGCTGAACTCTCAGAGGGAACCTCTTGATGTTATTTCCTGGCAATTCTTCTGGCTGAGCGCTCTACCCGAAGCTGTGCTTCAGTCAGGTTTTTAAAAGTTCTTTTCCTTTGTTCCTCTGGTGGTCACTGCTTTTCATTTTGTTTCACAATATGCCCCCTCTGGTTCTCTATACATCCTGCGGTTTGTCCCTCTCTGTGCCTTTGAATGAATTATTCTATTTGCTTCTTCCTTGTACTGGAGAACTACTTATCCTTCAAGATTCACTAATGAATCCTTACCGAATTAACTTCCCTCCGCCAGGCAGAGTTAAGCACCCCCTCCTCTTTCTTCTCACAGCATCCTTTATCAACCATCGGACAGTTCATGCATGCTCTTCAGAAGAATATTCTGTCCCTTTCATCTCTGTTAACCTTGTACTGAACATAGTATACAGTAGGTAGTAAGTGATCAAATAAATGGATGACTGAACAAACAACTGTGTTCTAAAACCTGGCATAAGGTTTGAAAAAAATATCAATATCATGTTGGGTTATGGGTGGCATCAAACTACTTTGAAAATAAAGTGAAGGCTTTTTTAAATTCACTGATTCTAGATAACCACTCTTGAGACAAAGACAAACATTAAGAGAGGAGA